CCAGCTCATGATCTTTGTTCATTTTCTCTATTAGGTTAGTCATATTTTTCCGCAGTAGTATTTTTTTTCTTCTTAACTGGTAAGAACTCTTTTTTGTAAATTTGTACAATTTGTTGCAATATCTTGAGGAATTTGATTTCTCAACTTTTTTTTCTTACTGGTGTTCTGGACACAAAGTCTTTTCCATGAATAGTATCATTTATCTAACTATGCATGAGCATCACAATTAAGTTTCTGCATATAAATTAAGAGTCAACCTAGATGACTTTTGGGATTCTAGATGACTTTTGGGATCCTTAGCACGATCAATATTTAAACTGAACTTTGAGAAAAATTGTAGTAGAATTGAGCCAACAATTCTAGGTATCCTGCTAAGTGTAATTAATAGGACTCTTTTATCTTGCATAAGATCTGAACTATGGAGTTTTTGCTGTCAGTCATTTTGCAAATATGTGTCTTAGCATTGATTTTTTGCTGGCTCCTGAGAAAGCAGGAAAGTGAAGGACTAGTTCATTTGTATTGACTTAGGCTTCAGACTGCTGAGAACAATGAGATAGTCTCCAATCTTTGCTCTTGGCTTCCAAATGTATGAAATCAAAGACAGCCTTTATGAGTTAACAGGTAAGATAAAACCCATGCATAGCCCATTCATGAGCAATATCAGAAGGCTCATGGCAAAATTATTGTCTAGTGGCATTTTTCCAATAGAGCACTCAAATTTTCAGTGTGCTTTTAAACCTAGTGTGAGATGTGTAGAGCACCTTGTTCACTCTTTTCTCATCTTTTGTTCTCTTGCTGTTACCAGTCAGTGTTGTCAGTCTCAGACTGCAAGCTCATTTAGATTGGGGGCTTCCTTAGAAATACACCTTTCTGTCAGGCAGGCTGGGTGAGGCAATGGATGGCAGACTGGGCATTCCCACATTTGCCTGCAGATAAACCAGGAAGAACAACTGGGGAGAGAGACAGACTGTGCAACCCATGGTTCCAGCACTGGGAAATAAAGCCTCAGATTTTAAAAATCTGACTTTAAAATAAGCCTCTCACTTTAAAAACCTGTGGGGGTTGCAGTGGCAAGAGAAACTCCCAGCCTCACAGGAGAGTTCATTGGAGAGACCCACAGGTCCTAGAATGTACACAAACCCACCCACCATGGAACCAGCCCCACAAGGGCCTAATTTGCTTGTTGGTAGTAGGGAGAAGTGACTGAAAGCTGGCAAGAGCTGAGCAAGCAGCATTGTTCTCTTTCAGACCTCTGCCCTATATATAATGCCACAATGTAGCCAAGTGGGTTGCCCTGCCCTGGCAAATACCTAAGGCTCCACTACTTACAACATATCAAGCAGAAGAAGACAAAAAAATATGACCCAAATAAAAGAAAATATCAAAGTTCCAAAAATAGAACTAAGCGGTAAAGAGATGGCCAACCTATCAGATGCACAGTTCAAAACACTGGAAATCAGGATGCTCACAGAAATGGTTGAGTGTCATCACAAAATGGAGGAAAAAGTGAAGCTTATGCAAAGTGAAATGAAGAGAAATGTATAGGGAACCAACAGTGAAGGGAAGGAAACAGGGACTCAAATCAATGATTTGGACAAGAAGGGAGAAATAATCATTCAATCAGAACAGAATGAAGAAACAAGAATTAAAAAAAAAAGCCCATTAGAGGCTTAGGAACCCTCAGGGACAACTTTAAACATCCCAACTTCTGAATCATAGGGTGTTAGTAGGAGAAGAGCAACAGCAAGAAATTGAAAACATAATGAAGGAGAACTTCCCCAGTTTCACAAAGGAAATAGATTCCAGGAAGTCCAGGGAGCTGAGAAAGTACCAAAGATGTTGGACCCAAGGAAGCACACACCAAGGCGTACCATCATTACATTACCTGAGATTAAAGATAAGGAAAGAATCTTAAAAGCAACTAGAAAAGAAGACAGTTACCTACAAAGGAGTTTCCAGAAGACTATCAGCTGATTTCTCCAAAGAAATCTTACAGGCAAGAAGGGGCTGGAAAGAAGTATTCAAAGTCATGAGAGGCAAGGACCTCCATCCAAGATTACTCTATCCAGCAAAGCTATCATTTAGAATGAAAGGGCAGAAAAAGTGCTTCCCAGATAAGGTCAAGTTAAAGGAGTTCATCATCACCAAGCACTTATTTTATGAAACATTAAAGAGACTTATCTAAGAAAAAGATAAAAAATATGAAGAGTAAAATGACAACAAACTCACAACTATCAACAATGAACCTAAAAGAAAAGAACAACAATGAAAACAAAAACTAAGCAAACAACCAGAACAGGAACAAAATCAGAGAAATGGACAACATATGGAAGGATTTCAGTGAGGAGGGGGAAGGGAGGAATAGGGGGAAAGGTACAGGGAAGAAGAAGTGTAATTAGTAGGCATAAAATAGATTGGAAGAGATAAAAATGATGTAGGCAACAGAGGACTGAAAGAACTTATATGTACAACCGATGGACATGAACTAAGAGGGGGGCATGCTGGAGGGCTGCGGGGCAGGGTGGAAGGGGGATAAAGGAAAAATATGAAAAACTAATACCATAATCAATAAAAATACTTAAAAATTCTTATAGGTATAAAATACTCATCTCTGAGAAATTATCTATAGAGTTTTCTTGTCAGGTGAGTCCTTTTATAAACTTTGCTATCAAAAAGTAAGATAAATTCTAGAAATATGTATTGTGAATAATGAAGATAAATGGGATAACATATACAAAATAAATGAAAACCTGCAGTATGCTCACCACTTTACTTACTCTACCACTTACCTCACCATGGTTTAAAAAAAGAGGGTTCAGTATAGGACTGATGACTTTGGTGGTTTTGTTGTCAAACAAAGACTTATTAGAAGGATGTTTGCAGTATTATTATAGCATTTTGTTCTGTGTTCTTTTGAAGCCCAGTTGAAACCCAGCAAAAGAAAAAAGGATCTAATATGAAAGGGATACACAATACAGTATATCATCATGGAGAGAGTAGTGAATAGTTATCTGAGTCATTAACAATCCAAAACAGTTTCCATGTCTACAGATTTTACAGTAGAAAATGTGGAAAGCTTCAACAGTCCTTTAACAGTCCTTTATTTTTAAAATGTGTGTCAAGACTGGCTATTTTGAACTCATGCCAAGAACTTACTAGTTATAGTTGTTACATAAGGTAATATGAAAGAGAAATACATATTTAAAGTGCTCTCAGAAATTTTAGATTTAAAATATCAGAAGGAGAAAATTATAGCTTTATAACTATAGAATTTGGGCTAGTTCTTTATGTTTACATTCTGAAATACTTTTCATATACCCAGAATTATTAGACACACAGAGTGGGAGCTTAACTCTCTATGGGGACAGCCTAGATCAGGATGAGTAGAGATCTAGAGATGAGGCATGCCAGCATGGTACAGCACACTGATGATTGAGAGATGGCAGTCAAGGAGCTGGTACTACTCTTTACCCCTCTCTTCTGAAACAATCTGGAGGCAAGTTTGGAGCAATGGTCCACATAGGCAGCTGAGATTGGGCCCTGTGGTGGCCAGCCCTGGCCTGAGCTTAAGGAGAGGACTCTATACAGGACCTCAGCCTGCAGAAACAGGGATACTATGCAGATCATCCCAACAGAAAGTTATCACAACTGGAATATTATCCAGGGACTACTTTATACAAATAGAAGAAAAGCTCCCAATACTAACTTGAGAGACTAAGTCCTTTGGCCAAAGAGCCTAGAACTCCTTAAATTTCCCAAAATCAGCTGCTCCAGCCTCTAGAATAAACCATGGGCCCAGAAATCTAGCCCATCCAAGAGAGAGCAGGGGACAGGAGCCTTGCAAGAATATCAAAGCTGATTATAGTGGTCCTGTATTTTCAAAACCAAATTTACAAGACCAGACCTTCCATGTTCAGTCTGCCTCAGTGATTCTCCCTGTTAGTGCATCTTCTTTCATGCTAATTATAAGAAAAGACTATTATCTTCCTTCTTGTTCACTAGATAATTGCATTGTTACTACTTTGCCCTTGGACTAACATGGCCTGTAAGGCTTTGTCCAGCGCAGTCTTCGTATTAATGTGTGAAGTCCCATCTCCATTTCCCAATCTGTGGTAAATGGACACTGCCTTGTATGTACTACTATTGTCAGATACCAATGAAAAATTAGCACCACATTGAGGTTTCCTCTCCCAGCCACCTGGGCAAATCATTTCTGTGTAGAAGTGAGAAAGAAACATACTCTGGCAGCAGGTTCATATCATCATTGATTGTTTTACTCTTGTTACCAGCATAGTTTTAGGAATACTGACCTGAAAATTAAAAGACATATATGTTTACCTGTCCTGTTAATTGCCACTTTTTCTCTACCTCTCAAGTTGACTCTGATAAAATCTGTGCCCACTGCCCTACCCAGAACATATGAGGTGATATGGGTAAGACAGTTGGGTACCCTTTGAAAAGTTTCCCAAACTCCCCAGCAGACTTAGTAGCAGAGCATCTTTATTCTTGATTGAAGATTATTGTTTAGAATAGTTCTCTTTTTGATTAGTGTCTCCTCCTCAGCCACCAAGTTTTTGTGCAAACTTCCCACTTGCAGGAAGTTCAGGGGTCATTTGTAAAAGGATGGGGATATAACGAGGTCATGTTTTTCCAGATCTCTTGGAGAAAACCCTGGCTAAACCAGCCCGGTTTAAAAGAGATTGTCATATGTCATACACATATTTACTTCACAAGTAGAACACTTCTGCATAATATTCAGTCCTCAAAAAAAAAGTACTATTTCTAATATAAGTTACTGTAATGCATTAAATTCTACTGGAAAATAATCAGATGTTATTTTACTTTGAAGACATTTTAATTTCAGTTAAATGTCAGAAAGCAAATTAAATTCTAAGTAAAGCATAACCTAAAATTGTATGTAAAGGCTAGGTCTTTGAGATGAAGGGGAATGTAGCTAGTTTGTTTTTATTTCTTTGTGCTTTCTTTTAAACACACTGTAGGCACCATTATTATTGAAAAGAGCCCCTACAGAAGAGTGTGAGGATAGGTCGGCTTTTCACAGTAATGAATTATCTTGTAGCTTGCCATCTATTCTGAATGACAATACTGGAATAAAGGAAGCAAGACCTGCTCTTTGGTCCAACAGAGTTCTTACAAGGGAACAAGGTAACTATTGTTAAAGGTTGGCCCACAACAAAAATGCATTCAACACAGCACCCTCTTTCTCAAGGTGTACCTATAAAATAAAGGGGACTAGAGAATACCACTGATTTTAGTATGCATAATAGGCTATTTCTTCTAAACCACATTTTGATAAATACATGATTTTGTTTAGTCTAACAAGAATAGGAAACATAATTGTAGGTCTACAGTTATGTTGAATGTCCAATAAACTTTTTATAAGTTAAAAAATCTTAACAAAACTAATCATTGGGCAGTAGATAATTTTGATCATCCTACAAGATGAAGATGATTTCATTACAATGATTCCATAAAGTACTATGAAATTTTTTATATCAATAGAATATACTCATAATTTATAAACATTATTTTAAGGTTGTATTTATAATACAATATTATAAAAGTCTAAACAGATGAATAAGCATTAATTTGTTACCCCCAAAATTTAAAATCCAATTTTTAGTATCCATAAGTGATGATTATTTTAGCATTACTATTAAGATATGTCAGTAAACTGCTATAGTGGTATTTCCAAGTCCACTGTTAGTTGCTCAGGATGTAATCAGAGGTTGATATATATGCATAGGAATTAAGGCTCTCTTGTTTTAAGCCCTATCCAAATTTGATAGATGTGAGGCTAAATTATTTTGCATGAAGACAACATAGAGATAGTTTTAATATAGGTTCCTTTTAGAAATAGTACTATTTTGGGCAAGAAATAAACCAAAAAAAAAAAAAGGAAGAGGAGATACAGTGAAAAATAAGAGGAATGGCAGTTAAAAAAAAAAAAGGCCTGGTCTACAATCTATAAATATAACCCTGACATATATTTTTATTATCATATTTTTAGAAGTTCCAAGTGGCTGCAGAGACGAGAGCAAGGAAGAAAGCATGGTAGTGAAGATTCCAATCATGGGTAAATTTATGGTTGCCTGAGAGTTTCAAACACAGAATTCAACCTTATTATATAATCAGAACATTCTATGTTAGTGGTTTGTGGACTCTGTTAAGAGGAGGTATGTTTAACTAATACATGCTGGATCAGGAGAATAATTATAAGAGCACATAATCATAACAAGCAAGCTTACTTTAACACAAAATAAGATGGAAAATAACCATGTCTATTGAATTGTTAATAATTGTTAATACATTTACACATGTGAGCATCCCCCATCACATAGCCTTTCAGCACCTGCATCTGCATGAAAAGGTCAGTTTCCATGGGGAACACTTAGTCATTATATGGTAAACTAGAGATATTTCTGATTTTACTCTTTTATTTCCTGTGATAATTGAATTGTATCATTAAAATAAAAATGGGGAAAAAAGTACTAGACAGGAAACTTGCTCATGCCTCAATTATAAATCATGTCTGATAATTTAACAATTTTAGCAGTAAGGTTTCATCAAGACCTGTTAAGGGATTTCCAGTCAAGATGGAGGCATAAGTAGACACACCTTGCCTTCTCGCATAGAAAGAATTACAACCAGATTTCAAAGACAAGTAACAGCCAGCACCATCAGAAAAATTGGGCTGTATGGAAGTCTGACAATGAAGAATTTAAAGAAGCCATATTCATCCAGACCAGTAGGGGTGCAGAGTAGTAGAGATGGGGCAGAGAGGCAGTGTGGAGTGGAGATACAATGGCAGCAATGAAATGGATGGCCCTATATTCATGTGTAGTGGATAAAAATCAAGAGGGATTCCTTGGGAGTGAGTAATACCAGCCCCAGGCCAGACCAAACAGCCCAGATTTCCAGCACTGGGAAGATAAACCTCCATTACCTCTGACTGTACAAACCAGTGGTGATTGGGGCAGCAGAAGAAACTGCCAGATTTGTACCACTTACAGGGCCCATACAGGCTTAGAACACATGCAAACCACACAGCAGCAGCTGGAAGGTTACCAATCACATATGGGAGTTAGGTGAGGTGACTGAAAGCAGGGTGAGTGTCAGGCAGGACTCCAGAAGCTAGGCACTGGCATCGTCCCCTCACCACCATCCCCACCCCAACATGCAGAGAGCCACAAAGCAGTGAAGTGGGTTGTCCCACCCTGGCAGTTACCTAAGGCTCTCCTCCACACAATTTACAGGTGCCTTTTCTACATAGACCACACTACTAAGGCAGGGAGTAAAAGCAGCTCTGCCTAATGTACAGAAACAAACACAGGGAGGCTGCCAAATTGAGGAGTCAAAGGAATGGCCCAAATGAAAGAACAGAACAAAACCCCAGAGAAAGAACTAAACAAAATGGAGATAGCCAGCCTATCAGATGCAAAGTTCAAATCACTAGTGATCAGAATGTTCAGAGAACTCACTGAGTACAGCCACAACATAAAGGAAGAGATGGAGGATACACTAAGTCAAATAAAGAAAAATCCACTGGGAACCAACAGTAAGGAGAAGGAAACCGGGATTCAAATCAATGATTTGAAACATGAGGAAGAAATTAACACTCAGCCAGAACAAAAAGAAGAAATGAGAATTCAAAAAAAAATGAGGAGAGGATTAGGAACCAATGGGATAGATTTAAATGTACCAACATCCAAATCATAGGTATGCCAGGAGGAGAAGAGGAAGAGCAAGAAATTGAAAACTTATTTGAAAAAATAATGAAAGAAAACTTCCCTAATCTGGCCAAGGAAATAGACATACAAGTCCAGGAAGCATAGAAAGTCCCAAGCAAGTTGTAACCAAAGAGGACGACACCAAAACATATCATACTTAAAATGCTAAAAGTTAAAGATAAGGAGAGAATCTTAAAAGCAGCAAGAGGAAAGAATAGTTACCTACAAAGGAGTTCCCATAAGACTATTAGCTGGTATCTCAAAAGAAACTTTGCAGGTAAGAAGGGACCAGCAAGAAGTATTCAAAGTGATGAAAAGCAAGGACCTACAACCATGATTACTCTATCCAGCAAAGCTATCATTTAGAATGCAAGAGCAGCTAAAGTGCTTCCCAGACAAGGTAAAGCTAAAGGAGTTCATTGTCACCAAGCTATTATTACATGAAATGTTAAAGGGACTTACTTGAGAAAAAGAAGCAGATCAAAACTATGGACATTGAAATGACAACAGGGACTTCCAGCCAAGATGGAGGTATAGGTAGACACACTTTGCCTCCTTCCACAACCAAAAGAAAGGACAACAACAAATTTAAAAACAAATTAACCAGAACTTCCAGAAAAATCAAACTGTATGGAAGTCTGACAACCAAGGATTTAAAGAAGAAACATTCATCCAGACCTGTAGGAGGGACAGAGATGGGCAGACTGGATGGAGAGGATGCATGGCAAGTTGGTGACTGGAGGACTGGGGCAGATGAGGTGATGGCTGGTGGAGCAAGTGGTCCCACATTTGCATGTGTATAAACCAGGAGGAGTTAAAACATTTGCATGTGTATAAACCAGGAGGAGGTCTGTCTCACTCCCCATGGGAGTGAGACAGACCATGCAAGCCAGGTTGCAGTGCAGGGGAAATAAAGCCTTAAAACCTCTGACTGAATAATCCTGTGAGGGATGAGGAAGCAGGAGAAACTCCCAAACTCACAGGAGAGTTTGTCAGAGAGACCCACAGGGTCCTAGAACACACACAAACCCACCCACCTGGGAATCAGCACCAGAAGGGCTCAATTTGCTTGTGAATAGCGGAAGAAGTGACTGAAAGCTGGCAGAGAGCCAAGCAAGCTGTGTTCTTCCCTCTTGGACCCCTCCCCTACATACAGCGCCACAAGGCAGTGATGTGGGTTACCCTGCCCTGGTGAATACCTAAAGCTCTGCCACTTACTATGTAACAGGTAAGCCAAGATAAAAAAAATATATGACCCAAATGAAAGAACAGACCAAAGCTCCAGAAAAAATACAACTAAGCAATGAAGAGACAACCAACCTATCAGATGTAGAATTCAAAACACTGGTAATCAGGATGCTCAAAGAAATGTTTGAGTATGGTCACAAATAGAGGAAAAAGTGAAGGCTATGAAAAGTGAAATAAAGGAAAATGTACAGGGAACCAACAATGATGAGAAGGAAACTGAACTCAGATCAACGGTTTGGAGCAGAAGGAAGAAATAAACATTCAACCACAACAGAGTGAAGAAACAAGAATTAAACAAAAAAAGTGATTAGAGACTTAGGAACCACCAGGACAACCTTAAACATTCCAACATCTGAATCATAGGGGTGTCAGTAGGAGAAGAGCAACAGCAAGAAATTGAAAACTTGCTGAAAACATAATGAAGGAGAACTTCCCCAATTTCTCAAAGGAAATAGATTCCAGGAAGTCCAGGAAGCTCAGAGAATCCCAAAGAAGTTGAACCCAAGGAGGAACACACCAAGGCACACCATCATTACATTGCCCAAGATTAAACATAAGGAGAGAATCTTAAACGCAATTACAGAAAAGGAGATAGTTACCTACAAAGGAGTTCCCACAAGATGGTCAGCTGATTTCTCCAAAGAAATCTTATAGGCAAGAAGGTGCTAGAAAGAAGTATTCAAAGTCATGAAAGCCAAGGACCTCCATCTAAGATTACTCTATCCAGCAAAGCTGTCATTTAGAATGAAAGGGCAGAAAACAGATAAAGTGCTTCCCAGATAAAGTCAAGTTAAAGGAGTTCATCATCACCAAGCCCTTATTATATGAAATGTTAAATGACTTATCTAAGAAAAAGATAAAATATATAAACATTAAAATGATAACAAACTGACAACTATCAACAACAGAACCTAAAATAACTAAAAATAAAAAAAAAACTAAGCAAACAGCTAGAACAGGAACAGATTCATAGAAATTGAGATCACATGGATGGTGTCAGCAGGGAGAGGAGGCAGGGAGAATGAGGGAAAAGGTACAGGGAATAAGAAGCATAAATGGTAGGTACAAAATAGACAGGAGGAGGTTCAAAATAGTGTGGGAAATGGAGAAGCCAAATAACTTATAGGTGTGACCCGTGGACATGAACTACCATGGGGGAATGATGGTTGGGGGGAGGCTGGAGGGGAATAAAGGGGAGAAGAAAATGGGACAACTTTAATAGCATAATTAATAAAATATTTTTTTAATTTCACAACTATCAACAACTGAATCTAGAAAACAAAAACAAACTAAGCAAACAACCAGAACAAGAACAGAATCATAGATATGGAGATTATTTGGATGGTTATCAGCTGGGAGGGGGGCAGGGAAGGATGGGAGAGAAGGTACAAGGATTAAGAAGCATAATTGGTAGGTACAAAATAGACAGGGGGAGGTTAAAAATAGTGTTGGAAATGAAGAAGCCAAAGAACTTATATGTGTGATCTGTGGACATGAACTAAGGGAGCAGATTGCTGGAGAGAAAGGGGGCACTAGGCAGAGGAGGGCAAAGGGGAAAATTTGGGACAAATGTAATAGCATAATCAATAAAATATGCTTTCAACAAAGACCTTAAGATTTCTGCACATGTATTAGGTTTGTTAAGATGAAATCTCAATATCATCATTTTTTTAGTTTTAAAATATGAACAGCAGCAATTAGTATTCTGAGCAGAGTTCTATTTGTCATGCATCTAAATTTAGTAATTCCTTATTTTGTAAAGTGGTATGTCACTTCATTATAAATTCAAAGGTCTGACTTTAAATATTTATACAAGTGTACACACTATTGCACAGAGGTACTGAGGCATGCATCTGCGTATGTGGTACTTTTGTTGTTTGTATGTGGAAGGAATGGCTTTATTTTATGGCAGTATAATTCATGGCCTGAAGATTTAATTTTTTAAACCCATGTTTCTGTGATGAACTTTAGTTTTGCAAAAGGAGTTTGTAATACAGCAATTATTGTATATATTCTGCATCAGATAATATTTTATTCCAAAATACAAAGATTTTCTCCTAAACACTTCCCATTGATATATTTATCGCATTTTTTATTC